TCTCAGAAAACACCGCCAATTTCATCAGCTTACGGGACAGGTAGGTGTCCATTCCGGGACGGTACAGTGTGCTGTGACCTGTGCACCGAGTCGACTACCGATCTTACTTTACAAGTCAAGCGTTCCCTTCTTCGGGAGGTGGGCTTCCACCACCACCACTACGTCGAGTTTGTATCGTCAGACCGTATAACAGACATCATCTGTCATGCTTTGGCCAGACAGGGAATAAATGTTCTAATATACGACACTTAGCTGGTTTAATTACGGATTGTTTGTTAAGTTGCGGCAGGGAACCTGCGAGAGCAATAAATCCATTTCTTCTTGCTAAAAATTCAACCTGACAACTGTTAATTAAATTTTGACATGCCCTACTGTTGTAACTGTTCAGCAGTGGGTAACGAAGTTTTTTTTATTAGTTCAATGGGTGTCGAACTACGATTGTTTGAGTGTAAGTGACAGGTCGGTTTTAAACCAGAGCGCGAAACATGACGAGATTGACCCAAAGAATTGCAGCTACCATTGGAGCATGGTTATCCCTTTCGGTTCGATGACAGGTTCTTCCAATTTTGACTTTTTTGTTGGCGCGAGTATAAATCTATCGAGGCGATGGGTAGCAGCGGTGATGGGCGGCGATGCGTGGGATCGTTATTTGGGCGACGGCAGATGTCGTTGAGTTGGACCATGGCTTATGAAATTATAAGGTTGTCCTGAAGAGAGTGCACGATAATCAGTGAAGGCTGTGGTGGTCAGTCGTCGGTTGTCCTGCGTCCAATTTCTGATGATCGTCGAGCGACCAGGCGTTTGCACACGCCGGGGGTGTTCATGTTCGCTAAGCGCTAATGTAAACACGGTCTGGCCATTCCGTTCCGTCTCTGCCTGCTGCCTCGGCGTTGTCGACATCGCCACCGTCGTCGTCTGTGTACGTATCTTCAAGAAATGGTGTTATAAAATTTCTTGCAAGCACAAAGCCGGGCGCTTAAGGTGGACAAACCACCATTACTACAACCATCACTGGTATGTCGTCGTCGGCATTAGCTTCAGCACCGTGGTCGCTTGTATTCGTCTGTGTCGTCTTGTCGTCTTGGTCATCGTCAGCAACTGCCCATCGCCTTTCGGACATCGGTCAAGAAGTATTACTTCGCCTGTTGTTGTCACGCGGTGGCATTGTCCCTCCATCCGGCTGTCCCTCGATCCGTTGCCTCCGTCTCCATTTTGGTGTTCGTCAATTTCTAACCGTTTTTCCGCTATTTCGCATATGACTAATGGTCGGTCGAGCGACGCGGCGCGACTCTTCTTCCGTGAGGCCTACTAAACGCCCTTTTTGGCCGTGGCGGCGGCTTCTGCTGTTGTTGTTCATGCCGCTACCGCTTTTCGTGCCGCGTTGCATATGAATTCATTACCCGCGACGACGACCATCTGCGCCGCCGCCGCTGCCGCCTTCGCCTTCGCCGTATCCTTCGCCGTTGTCGTCAGTGAACTGTTCTTCTCTCGTTGTCTGTTCTGTTGCTATTCCTGCTGAGTAATTGGTCCAGTTGACGAACGAACGGTCGCACTACCAACCGGTTGTGCGGTGACTGTAGGCCGTTCCTGCTTTCCTTGCCTCATACTCCCTCATTTACCCTCACTATTCGTCGTCGTCGTCGTCACGCTCTGTCCGTACGCCCTGATTATGAACAACGAGCCATCGTCATCATCATCGCCGTCGCCTTCGTCTTCGAACCCTTACTGGCAAGTAACAGACGATGACTGTTTCCAGTTCGACCGTTACCCATTTCCTCGCCACGGTACTAATTTTCCTCGACTGCCATGCTACCATCGTCTTCGCCATTCTGCTCTTCCGCCTCCTTCACCGTTGCCGCCGCCTCCGCCGCCGCCGCCGCCACCGCAGTCTCAACCGCTTCCCACTTCTTCTCCGTCGAACTTCTGTCGCCAGTGGGGTCACCATATCCCGTCGCAACCGCCCCTACCGCCCCTACATCATACTCAACTACAGACCCCCCTTTCTACCGGTGCCATCGCCACTTCCTCTGACGATGACCTCGCTGCGTCATTCGTGCCGTTCCTCAACGCTGCCGCCGCCGCCGCTGCCGCCGCCGCTTCCTCCTCGTGGTATCTGCCCTCGCCGACGGAAGTGAGTTGCATCGTCACTCGCCGCTTGCGTTTTCAGTTTGGTCTGTTAGTCGTGGTATCTCGTCCATCTGTCTGTCTTACTGTATTTTTGCACTGCTATGTGGCCTCCTCTCGCCGTGTAACTCATCCGACGGTTCTGCTTCTAGATTGTCCATCAGTTCTCCGGCACCGAGTTGGATCCGCCGTCGTGCCGAGACTTCACTGCTGCCGCCACCGCCACCGCCGTCGCAAAGCCCGTCCATTCCTACCGCCGAATGCCGGAAGCTTCGACGTCCCCCGTAAG